AGCAGTGCAATCATTTTGAAATTTTTATCATTTACTTATTATGCTTCATTAAGTACTTATACAAAATTTTATTAAAATAAAACCATTTAAACTGGGTGTTCGGATTTATATGTCACTCAGTATATTTATGCGGCGCCAACCCCAGTAATTCTACGAACAGATTTGGCAAATTTCACTCATCATACATGTCCCCGTACATTTACCCACAAAAATTATATGTCCTACAGCTATTCGGAATGGCATTGTCCGTTAGCGAGCAGTCATCGATCATTCGGGCTGTTCTCCTCTGAATAGCATCGAGCATTTATACTTTAGTCGAGACGGCAGCATCTCAAACATGTGAGCTGTACTCGAGGCTTGCTCTTATCTAAGCCTTAGACGGAGGAGAGATTACGTGGAGAAAAGTACTTGTCAGCCCTCAAAAAATAGCTTTTTCCCAGCAGCTGATGTGATTGACGAGATGTGTTCGTGTCAGATCAAGTAATCGGTGATCTGGAGCCGAAATGGTAGAACTCGGCATCCATCGAAACTATAAATATGAGCGCTAGGGTGTTTCTTATTAATCAAGGCACAGTACTGTGTCTTGGGGGCATTAAGCTGTACCAGATTGTCGAGTCCCCAAGCAGCGATGACCTCCAGATCTCTCCTCAGAGTCGCTGCTGGTCTTTTTCTTTCCAGCTCACCGACAGAGATCGGCTTGGCACTCTGAATTCCTGCATGATGTTATCAACAATTCTGTGGATCGGGACATCTTGTGGTCAGAGAGGAAGTCAGCCACCATTCTGCATCCTGGAATATAAAACTTCACTGCGTCATTGGCATTAGGGTTTAGTCTGTATATGTCCCAGACAGACGCCAGGTGTACTGAAGATCGAAAGGTCTAACTTATGTGGGTGTCTGGGACAGCTAGGCCCTCTAGTCACTTCTGAAAGCTGAATGTCTAAGTTGCAAGAAGGGGGCCGTACTCAGAGAAACTGAGAATAGTCCCTGGTAGATGCGGTCGGGTATGTTGAATCACCAGTCGGATGAATAAATCAAATGAAACCCAAAATGTTGCTACAAACTTTATTTCTCCAAGACACATACAAAACAGAAAAGAGACAAAAGTCCTCTCCTGCCTTCTTGATACTAGATGAAACTCAAAACGGGCAAAGCAGCGGGTGTAGCTCCCAGAGAAAGCAGGTTGGATCAAGGAAGACTAAGGACGCTGGACAAAACGCAAATAATCTCCAATAATAACACTTTTTTAAAATGGAGGTACCAAAATACCGCAATTAACCAACCCGAGGCTCTCCTACTTGATACGTCAAATCTCAAAGTACCCAAACAAAGTGCTATAGACTAAACGGGGCGGTACGGTTCGGCATTCTGACTGTATTCGCTTCGACTTCTTCCACCAGTCAGCCCTTATTTATCACCAGAGAAATCCGTTAGGGTAATCGTTAGCATAGACCATAAACAACATAAAGATTATTCAGAAATATCTCATTTGCGCCAGACCCAGTTTTCAATCCTTCAAATCAAAGCAATTCGCACACTAGCTACCTAGTGCCGGTTAAATCCCAGTACATACTGCTACAGATAGTATTCTTGCTCTCTTGCTATACTTAAGCAGAACACCCAGCACGAGTAGCTACTTGAATAATATCCTTTCCAGAAAAAATAATGTACTATGTAATATATTGGTTTGTTACTTTGGTAGGCAAATTAGCAAAAAGGATGCACTACTACTGCACAATTTTGAAGACAAGCAATCTAGTATAAACGTATAGACTTGACTGTTGCTAATCCATTCGAATTCATTTGAAAAGATACTTGAAAATTGGGTTAATCGGACGAGGTACTTTCGGGCCAGTCATAGTTTCAATGATATTGCGTTTGATATCTAAGTAATTTTAAATGATAGCATTGAGCCTTTCCAATGAAACCATATTTATCTTTTTTTAAATATTTATTTGCATCTTTTTTATAGCCGATATAATTTTCAAAATGTAGATGGCCCCTTCCTCTATCTAGAACATAACGAGGCACCTAGCAAGACGTTAAATTTATTATACTCGGGATAGATACAAAATCTTGAATCCAGCGGTTAAAATGACAAACTTAGAACAACTTTTAAGTAAAATTAAAAATTGACCGTACTATCGTATTACCGGTCGTTGCGTTGCTACCTAGTTACAGATAAGCGATGACAGTTGGTCTCGGATTCCACTTTGGTTAATTTTAAAAATAGCTTGTACCGTTGAACATAAAAAACCTAGATCCGAGGCCAACTAGCTTTAAGCTATAATAGGTATTCCACAAAAATTCCAATCCAATCATTTTCTTTTTTGTCCTGATCATACATGTATCTATTATTTTATGTTCCGAATAATACTACGGTAGAATGGACAAATAAAAAATCATATTTACCAATAGGATTTGGTTCTTTTGCAAAATAAAATGCAACACAAAAACAATTTTGCATGATATAGGGATCGAAAATCAATCAGAGGAAAACGTCACATTACATAAATAGAGGGATATTTTAGGGATTATTGCTTTTCCAGTTATAAACGTTATAATATTGAGTATTGCAATAAACACTGAAATATGTATTCTTTTTTATTTTTATTCTAATCTGATTGAGTGAAACAAATCCTGGAAGAGTCTAGTCATGAGAAATAATCCAGGAACTCATTATCGAGGAATGTTCTGTGGACCATAGTGCAACTAAGCTAAGCTAAGTACGACTAGATTTTACAATGATTTCTAAAATTTTCGAAATTCCTATACTTAACTTCAAATGTTTTGTATTTTTTAAAAGATCACACCCACCTGTTTGCTTTCTGTTTTGCCTGTCTCTAGGACTAGACCTGTACCACACTGAGGATTTGCCAATGGGCCCGAAACAGCGCTGTCTACTATTGTTGCAGAGATGGAAAGGAAACATGGTTGTTTCAGCCGTGCAAATTCATCCATACATGCATAAAAAGTAATTTCTAGTTTGCTCTGTAAATATTTAGCATTCTGAACACTGGACAGTTGACCGTGATAATGAGGCGGTGCGACATCTCTGCGCATAGCGCAGAACGTTTAGCGGTTATGGGCCAAATGACGTGTCTGTCGTCTTCATTGTAAGGGATGAGGATTAGAATCAGCCTATCAAACCATTGACAGGTGGTGATTGTCAGATTGCTGATCGACTCGCTCACTTCAAATGTTTCCGTCGGTGTCAGGGGGGTGAAACATCTGATGAACAAGCTGGCAACCCCAAGGTAATCCACTCCAGACAAAATCAAGGAAACTGCATTACCGGCATTGAGTCACGTGATTCTTGCCGGGGCTTTCCATCTTTATGTAAACCTAAAAATGTCAAATATGGAGTCAAGATTCACAACACTGATATACATTAAAAATGAGTTTACAATATAAAGCAACACTATCAGTAGCAGTGATGATGTACGTGAAATGTATAGTGACTATTGTGGGAGATGTAAACGTTCAGGAGAATCTTTCATGAAGTGCTACAGGCAGGCCCTGAATTTGCTAAATTCCCCTATCTAGGCCAACAAATTTAATATAATTGAGCAAACTTAGCAAGTGACTAACTTATTTACACAGATTGCATAAATTGCATTAGTGTTTTCTCTATTATATCAGAATTGCAACACATCATGAATTTGGGATAAATCTATGTATATTTAAATGTAATACAATTTTTATATCATTGTCAGAGAAAGATGCTTAGAACATGTGATTATTTGTTGAAACTAAATGTTTGAACAAAGTGTTAGACTTTATTATTATGAAACTTGTTGCCAGCAAAACTGTTGGTAGACATATTATCACCCTTATCAGGGATACTTCATGAATATACGAGTACGTTCATGAAATAATTCTTCAATATTGGCCCCACTCCTTCAGTGTAATGTGTTCTGTGGTCGAGGCTGACCTTTACGAGGCGTCCAACACATGATCGGGCTTATAACCTTCGCCACTGGGGACATGATTTGCCAAAAATGTATCTTGTGAGTCGTATAGATGACAAAAAATTAGTGGTACATGAACTGATCAAAAACCAAAGACGACGTTGGTGTCGAGATTTATAGAACAATGCCAAAAAACGAGATATCTGTGAGTCTAGGTAACATAGTAACAATACTTGCGGCTGAACAAACTTCTATACAGGACTGCGCAAAAGATCTAATGACATGCTATCCAACCAAGTGTCGGTTTCTGAGCTACAGCACACCGGTGTAAAGAAGGTTACACAGAGTGAGCCCGAGGATCGAGCCATGTGCTGTAAACTAATTTCAGTGTTGTTGTTTCTCCACTTTTCAATATCATTCTAAGGCCCTGTAAGAAGCTCACTATAAGTTTCACTATTTCATTTCTGAATTTGATTATTTCTAGGATGTTTGAAAGCATTGTTGATGTACGACTAAAATAGAAGCATGGCGCACACTTGCATCTTCTTATTAAAAAGTACCTCTGAGCTTCTGGCAATGTTCACGATGTGCTGTAATGCGGGGATTTGCCATTATGGAAACCGCATTGCCTAAATGACATGCCATTATCGAACTTGACACGAGACATCGTTGCTTACAATTACAAACGCAATTCACCATTTTTCTCTAATGAGAAAAACCATGTATTTATACGAATATCGCTCCCTGTTATAGTTAAACTATTTGATTGCCTCTTGAATATGTATCGTCGACGAAGTAATGAAAAAGCATCTAGCTGTATGTTGAATAGGTAAATCGCAAATAAATTTGTTATTCCAGTAGAGTGCTACTTATGCTGAAATTGAATTATCGAAGCACTGGTTGTGTGCGGGTAGTGGCATAATACGATAATAAACATTATTACGTTTTAACCAGATCATGTTTCGCTACACGGGTGGAACGATTTTGATAAACACTATTTAGAGTACACAAATTATTAGCTACATATGAGGATGAAATTCATTGTTAGCTATCCTGTGCGAGGATTTCGGTGTTAGTTGTAGTTCGGAAATGTCGATTGCTGGTAGACGAGGTAAATGTTATGCTAAATTTTAATTCCAGTTTATTTTCGAAGTATTTCACTATATACTAGATTTACACGCCTGGGAGCGGCAAGGTATTTAGGAATATACAAGAGACGTGATAAAAGTAATAAATAAAAATATATTTTTGAGAGCAAACTTTGGCTGTTAATAAAATGAACTAAAATAAAACAAAACCTTTTCCGATTGGAAATATTGAAACCATAATGAAGCTCCTGCATCTCAAGTTTTCAAACGGAACCGTGTTATATCCTTTTTCCATTCTGCTGTCAAAGTATGACACGGTGGTAATTACACTCGCCATATTGGATTTGGAATGTCGTCAATTTGTTTATTGTGTTTCTCGCATCAAGTCGTTCCATTTAATACCCATATCATAAGAGCTACTATGAAAAATTTGATCGCCGTTTTGTGGCGGCTGCCATATTGTATTTAGCATGATACATAACATGATACATAACATTTGATACATAACCATATTATAGTGGTTACTATGAAATGATAAATCGCCATTTTTTAGCATCTGCCATTTATTGTGTTACCAAATAGAAGCTCGCTTTAACCCTAATTTAATCTTCAACGCCGTGGTCAAGGTCAAATCCAAGGTCACCAGTGGAAAATTATAAACCACAACTATATTACTTTTATCATACCCTCGGAATGTTCCCGAATATCTTGCCGCTCTGGGATTTATTGTTATATAGGTAAAACATTCATAATCACTGTGGACTTCTAAAGAAAAGCTAGTAAAATATTAGCAAAGGCTACATGATGGTGAATTGTAGAAAGGCAGTCTAGCAGCGACTTCCTATCTAGTGAAAGACCTGGAGGTTATCACTGCTTAGGGACGCAACAATCTGGTACAGTGTAGTGCTTCCAAAACAAAGTACTGCACCTTGACTAACAAGAAGCAATATAGTGCTTATCCGGTTTCGATGGATGGCCGAGTTATGCCAAGGATGAGCATTTCTGCTGGTCGGAGTCCAGATCACCGAGTAGATGATCTGGCATTGGCAGATGTCGTCAATAGCGGCAGCTGCTTGGAAAAAGCTTGGCTATTTAGGGTTTCTCTCCAAATGTCCTTACTGTGTAAAAGGTCCAAATAAGATCTAGCCGCGATTACAGCTCACTTGTTTAGGCTGTTGTCGCTTCAACTTCTTCTTCTTTAACTGACAGTCTTGGGATCGGTCAGACAGACCGGTCTAACTTCGGTTTCCCATCCTAACCGTGTCGTACACCCAGAACTGGTCGATACTTTATCCTTAGGATAACGAGATTGTGAAACAATTCTCATGAGAAGGCTTTTCACAGTTCCACTAATATACATACTTTATTGATCCTTTTGATCATTTGAAAAATGATGTAGGATATGTCATGGTTGATACATACATAAAATTTACACTTCACTAGGCATAGGAAAACGTACCCTTGGTATGTTTGTCGTATAGAAAAATGACACATGTACAACAACTAAAGCGTATTAGGGGCGACACAATAAAGTTAATATACGTTAATATACAGGGTGTTCCATAATTATTGCGACAAAATGATAGGTGTTGTAGAGGGCATCAAAATGAACAATTTTGCCTTATAAACCCCTGTTCGGAAATATGCCGTTTGGGCTGCAACAAAAAAAAAGATCAGTTTCTTGAAACAGCTTACCTACAGTAATTGCTCAAAGTGTCCTCCACCTTGCTCAATACACAGCTGTGCACGATTGTTCAATGATCGGCGAACTCTGTGGCATACCCCTGGTATGTCCTGAACATGTGCGGACGCGGCCATCATTCTTCCCAGTAGCTCTTGTTGGTTGGGAACAGGAGTTTCGTATACTAAAGCATTCAGATGGCCCCAGAGAAAATAATCCAGTGGGGTCAGGTCGGGTGACCTCGCAGGCCAAGGCACAGGGCCACCTCGACCTATCCACCTATTTGGAAATTTGTCGTCCAAATACTGCCGCACTTGTAAAGAAAAGTGGGCTGGAGCGCCATCGTGTTGAAACCACATGTTGGCTCTTATGTTCAGTGGCACATTTTCTAATAGTTCCGGTAGCACATGCTGTAAGAATCGACCATAAGCATGCCCATCCAAACGTGGTGGAAGCAAATATGGCCCGATGATATGCTCGTCCACAATGCCGTACCAGATGTTAATTGAAAACTGATGTTGGTCTCTATGGATGGCTATGGCATGAGGGTTTTCTTCATCCCAAATGTGACCGTTACGGCTATTAAAATAACCGTCCTTTGTAAAACAGGACTCGTCAGTGAACAAAACGTAGCGACCAAAGTTTGGTTGCCTCAACTCCATGAATCCTTGCAAAAATGACGTGATGCGGATGAGGACGTTCTGGAAACCGTTGGGCGTAGATTCGCGAGGCTCGTCTTCCGTTACCACCAGCTTCTTCGTAAATTAAATGCATATCCGCAAGTTCCGCATACGAATAACGCATTTTAACACTAAGGTACTGTTATTTACTATCTAGTTTGACGCACCACTCAGATAAATTAAATGAATCGGTGTGGAGAATTTACGATAACAAAAATGTAAACACAGCAGGCTTTTTTTACAAACCGGCGAGACCATGAAATGTGCTAGACGAACATTTTGCAGCTGGTGAATTTTTTGTTTCTCCTATGAGCTCTTAAGGTAAAATTAGCGGTAGTGCTCAAACGGCATATTTACGAACAGGGGTTTATAAGGCAAAATTGCATATTTTTATGCCCTCTACAACCCCTATCATTTTGTCGCAATAATTATGGAACACCCTGTATATAGTATAAAAGGAAAACATCACATAAAATATATTGGTATCCAATTTTAGCATAGAAAATAGTCAGCGAGAGTTGTAGGTTACTTTTCAACAAGACATCTCTTCAGATGAACCTTGAGAAGGCTAATGTTGGGAGTTCTCCTGAAGGTCGAAGATTTTTGGGCGATAATTATCCATATCTGTATTGAGACCTTTCTTGAAAACTGGAATGATCGGTACAAGTTTCAGATACTCTGTAAATTTTCCTTGACAAATGGAAACTCAGGTATTTTAAAAATCGTTTGTTTAAGCTCCTCACATTGTTATCAAAAAGCTGTAAGTAGGAAAACAATTTTTCTCAATGCGTTACATCTTTAGTTTCAACTGTCTACCAGTCTACCTATCACTCGTTACAAAATAAACCGTGTTAATTGGCCTAAACCATTTCGAAGCGAAAGGACAGTACTGCCAGTTTCGGCGGTGATATTTCTAGTATCTCTAGAAAATAAGGAATTACTGCTTTACGGGAACTAATTAACACAGCAATAAATCCGAAAAAATGAGAAACCGCATTTTTTGCCGTGGTCCGCTGTTCTATAAATTTTCCACGAAAACTGAACGTCTCTAGAAGAATAGGGTGGTAGTATATCATAAAGTGCACACAATATGACCGCAGAGCAATTGTTATTTTTACAATGGAATAACGGGCATATGCCTGCTAGATTAAGTTATTGCGGGAGAGCGTCAAAAATTATTTATGAGAGCTGAGTCTATAATAATGGTTATACCGTGGGGTAACTCAATGCATTGTTGCCAAAGTTCATAACCATAAAGAGTAGTCGCATTGAATTAGAAAATACTGATTAATTACGGAATGAAAATTAAGTTTCAATTGAAATGTGACTGATTGGATGTTCCCTAATTATATATTAGGACGTTGTAGCTTAATAGTCCGTACACGTGAGATACTTTGTCATGTGTCGACATCTTTCGACACGTTTACTCACAACAAAGCAACGGTACATTTAGATTTCTCTTTGCATGGAATATGAACCCTGCGATGTCCTACCTGTCTATTTGGGAGAATAGGTAAATGAAAATCCTCCAAGTGATCAAAATCCCTGATGTCCAAATTTGCTAAAAATTTCATTGTAGAATATAGAATAATTATGAACTTCATTTTATGATTAGAAATCTTATTGTTATAAAAACCTATTATTAGATAAATTGCAATTTCTTGAACATCCTACTCCAAGCATTTCCAGATCAAGCACCAGTACTAACATTCGCTGAAATACGTCACTTTATGTCGGAATTGGCCTAATTAATGTCATTTTAACACTACCTGCCTTCTTTATTCAGCTAAGCTACAAAATAGTAGTAAGAGTGGCTATAACAGAATTTGAATGAACGCTTAGTACCATTTGAATAGAAATGTTGACACCATTGAAGTTTTGAAAACTGATACTTATAGATCAGGCTAACTAGATATGAATCGATCATGTTCTAGAAAAAAATGTATAGACGGATAATATAATCAAGGGTAAATCAAATGGTCTCGAGAGGTAACTTTGTAGGGTGACTTTTTCAGTAAACGTCTTTAGAAACTGAGGTATGCGTATAAGTGGTCTGCATAAGACTTGTAGAGGACGAAAAGGTCTTTAAAATGAAACGTGGGTTGGGAGAGCCCGATTGTCAATTGTTTGAAGTATGATATAATTTTCAGCTATACTTATTTACTTTGGCTGTGGCAGTCGCTGAGGTTAGACGTGTTTTCAAGAGCTCGGCGATTTTCGTTTGTTAAAAGAAATAGATCAAAGAATTTGATTCAAATTTTGTGTAAATGAAAAAAAGTCTAACAAAGTGTCTTAAACGTTAACAAGGCGTATGATGAGTCTGCTATGGATGTTTGCGAGTGGTATAAGGGTTTCCAAGGTGGCTGTGAAGACGTTGAAGACAGGGACGCCAGAGCACATCAGCAACCGATGAAAACGTGGAAAAAGTGAAACAAATGACTAACCGATCGCCGAATCGCAATCAGATAAGTCGCCGATGATGCTGGCTTATCGATTAGCAAATTTTTTTATATGTTTAAATTTTCCACCAAAAACAATGAAATGGCTATCTGTAACATTTTCCTATTTCCAAAAACAAGGATGGCCTCAAAGGGCCGTCGCTTTACAAGCATAGATGAAAAGCTCATTGCTGGAACAGCTAAATGCGATCCCAAAGATTGAGTTTGAGAACTAGTTTGAGGACCGGAAGAAGCACGGGCACAACTTCATACTAATATCTAAGGGGGACTATTTTGAAGGTTAAAACATTAATGTAGATAAAAAGCTTCATCATTTTCTGAACACTTCGCCAACATGCGAGAGCGGCTACGTTGCTAGGCAGCTCATGAAAAATGACCATTAAGCTTAACAAGTTTAGTGGAAGTTATGAATTGTGTCAAACAATGTAAAGCATTTTTGAGGAGATTTTTTACTGTTTTGTACCTTTTTGGTTGGTGAAACAGACTTTTAAACTAACCATTTATGCAATAAAAAATTAACTGCTACTGCGAGTTGAATATGTAAGATCTTATTTCAGAGATATCTTCAAGTTTTATACCTTTCATCTGAATCAGTTTTGCCGAAAACTCATAGTCTCTTGAAAACTCGGAACTTTGGCGCATAAAAAAAGGTTTTCTTGTATTTCTACATAGACGAAACAGATTCTTATTTAACCTCCAGAATATACTCCTGTCTACATTTTCTGTGGCAAAATTTGGCAACGCTGTTTACGAGGTGCCAACGACACGTATGCTAACAAGCGAACTATTCTTTCTTGAAGTGGGACATTTGGGTTGTTTCAAGTGTCAGCTATGATAGAGTGCGTTTTTAATACATGGTATTAGGCGTACCCTCACACCGCACAATCCACATTTTTTCTAAATGGGTGAACCCATCTGCAGTGTAGGGGATGAACGGATTCGTTTAAACATATGAACTGCAAACGGATTTCAAGATCGATTGTTAATTTTGTGATGGTAATTCAACTAGGATTGTAATAAAAATAAAATAATAGCAATAATAATATTAAATACTAAAAGATCATTAGTACTGTTAGGCCCATGCGGAATGAGGCGTCAGCGATAGGCGATGTATGGGTGAAGGTCGGAGCAAGGAGGCATTTTAATCATTAAGATTTTGGAGGTTACGCTGGTAGCAATGTTTTTGATCGGAAGATCTTTTTGGGTGTAAACACGTCAGAGTTATTTAATATATTCGGGCTGTGAGCTAATTATTTGGCGTTATAGTACGTAATGCTGACAGCTTATTGCAGGTAACACTACGCAGTATGCAATATGAACACACCCAAGTTAAAGAGAGAGTTGTAGGGATGATGAAAATCTTGAAGCAAAATTGTAAAAACACATGGAAAAAGAGAGAGAAAATATGTGGTTGGAAAAGATGGCCAGTTCGGCATATATATGAAAGAAGGTATCGATAGGAGTAGATACTGGTGCACTCTGGGCGCCCCCCACCACTTCCACTTTTTGGCCACGCCCACCACATCCACCGCGTGCTCTGATTGGCGGATCAAACGGCGGGAAATTTGAACGGGGTTGATGGTATATGTTGATTGGCGGGAACCGCTAGATCCACCGCGTGCTCTGATTGGTGGATCAGACGGCGGGAAGTTTGAACGGGTTGATGGTATATGTTGATTGGCGGGCCCCGTTAGATGGCGCACCCGACCGGAAGTGATTCAGACAGCCGACGATAGTAAGGTGTAGTATAACGTCTATGCGTAAGCGATGTGACTCATTTCATGTTTTGCGGTAAATATTTGCATATAGATCGATAAAAGCCCATGAATAATGATATTTATAGATGCAATTCTGCTGATTCAGTTTAAATGGAAAAACGTATAAAATTCGCGGGAAACAATGCGTATAGGATGATCTCAATAATCAACACGTCATATTCAGTGTGCATATAAAAATGGAATTGCTCATATATGTGGTGCATACAGTTAATGTTAGTTAATTTTTAACATTGATACAATATTGAAAACATAGTACAGTCTATATTGTGTATCTAATAAATTCAACAAGGCAATCACCTACGTCGCAAATGAGGTTAGGTTCAGGGCAGGTGTTGTCGTAGCGGTGATATGCAAGAAGTACCGGGCGGGGCTGTTAAGCATGGGTGAATGGGCAGGAAGCGCAGGCTGTCAACGAGTTAATACTGACCAACGATAACAGCGGTGACCTTGAAACACTGTGGTCAGTTAAAAAGTGGTGGGGGTAAAATCGAGATTATAAATACCTATGAATCACCGCAAATTATCTTGTCAGTTATCTGCAGCGAACAGACGTGCTCAGTTCAGATTTAGTCGCTAGTTAACGTTTTAGTTTTTAAAAAATGGAAAAATTCTTCATCGTTAAGGATTCTACTAAGAAGATTAAAAAATTTAATCTATATGGGCGAGAAGTGGAATTTAAAATACGACCCCAGTAGATACTGGTGCACTCTGGGCGCCCCCCACCACTTCCACTTTTTGGCCACGCCCACCACATCCACCGCGTGCTCTGATTGGCGGATCAAACGGCGGGAAATTTGAACGGGGTTGATGGTATATGTTGATTGGCGGGAACCGCTAGATCCACCGCGTGCTCTGATTGGTGGATCAGACGGCGGGAAGTTTGAACGGGTTGATGGTATATGTTGATTGGCGGGCCCCGTTAGATGGCGCACCCGACCGGAAGTGATTCAGACAGCCGACGATAGTAAGGTGTAGTATAACGTCTATGCGTAAGCGATGTGACTCATTTCATGTTTTGCGGTAAATATTTGCAGATAGATCGATAAAAGCCCATGAATAATGATATTTATAGATGCAATTCTGCTGATTCAGTTTAAATGGAAAAACGTATAAAATTCGCGGGAAACAATGCGTATAGGATGATCTCAATAATCAACACGTCATATTCAGTGTGCATATAAAAATGGAATTGCTCATATATGTGGTGCATACAGTTAATGTTAGTTAATTTTTAACATTGATACAATATTGAAAACATAGTACAGTCTATATTGTGTATCTAATAAATTCAACAAGGCAATCACCTACGTCGCAAATGAGGTTAGGTTCAGGGCAGGTGTTGTCGTAGCGGTGATATGCAAGAAGTACCGGGCGGGGCTGTTAAGCATGGGTGAATGGGCAGGAAGCGCAGGCTGTCAACGAGTTAATACTGACCAACGATAACAGCGGTGACCTTGAAACACTGTGGTCAGTTAAAAAGTGGTGGGGGTAAAATCGAGATTATAAATACCTATGAATCACCGCAAATTATCTTGTCAGTTATCTGCAGCGAACAGACGTGCTCAGTTCAGATTTAGTCGCTAGTTAACGTTTTAGTTTTTAAAAAATGGAAAAATTCTTCATCGTTAAGGATTCTACTAAGAAGATTAAAAAATTTAATCTATATGGGCGAGAAGTGGAATTTAAAATACGACCTATCCCTAAAGACGTCGAACCTGTGGGATGGATCAAAGACGCTCTGGAGGAAATAGTAGCCAAAGGAACTGAACATCTCCAGCCCAGTGATCAAGTTGGATTCACTTTCTGTTCCAAAGACTTTACCCGCGGTCAAGGATGGATAGCTTTTAAATTGTTTTCCGACGTTTCAACTGAGGACATATGGGAGAAGATATCTTCCATCTATCAGTCAAATTCTGTGGGGTTGAATACCGAGACTTTTTGCTTGGGTATTACGTCCGTAAGGTTGCCTGCTGGTCGTGGTAGAGCTCAGAATTTCAATACCTTTGATGAGGAATGCGCCAAAAGAAAAGGCATTATCACCGTTAAAAACACCGATAATTTGTGTCTCCCACGAGCCCTTGTCATCGCCATGGCCCATTTGAACAAAGACAAAGATTATAGCAGAATCCGCCGTGATCGAGGAAAAATACAAGGACAAAGAGCTGTACAACTTGTGGAAAAGGCTGATATTGTTATCCCTGAGGAGGGGTGTGGAATACCTGAACTTCAAAAGCTACAACGATATCTGCAAAACTACAAAATTGTTGTATACAAGTTTGGGTGCAAAGGTCGTGACGTCATTTTTGAAGGCGTGTCCGCTGGTCCGACGCTTAACCTAATATATCACGAGGGGCACTACAGCGTCATAACATCCCTCACTGCTGCCTTTTGCTGCAGCTTTTTTTGTGAGAACTGCCACATTCCGTATAATACTAAACAAATTCATAGATGTGATAAACAATGTTATGCTTATAAAAGATCTCCGGCCTGCCTGAAAACGAAGCACATCAAATGCAAAGAATGTAATAGAAGCTTTTATGGACAAGAATGTTTTAACGCTCATTTACCATCGGTCTGTTCTAAAATTAAAAGATGTGTAGACTGTTTTAAAGTTCACAACGGTAATGATCACATCTGCGGATATATACTTTGTAAAACATGTTATAAAAATCAACCAATTGAACATATGTGCTATATACAGCCTGACAGAAGTATTCCTAAATCAAATGATGTCTTATTAATATTTTACGATTTGGAAATCCGTCAGGAGAAGGAATTACCCAATGGATCTTTACTGCATGAGCCAAATCTATGTGTATTCAAACAATGTTGTGAATCATGTACCGATAATCCTATATGCAAGAAATGTGGCCTTCGAATACAGATTCTTCGATGTCAAGACGTCATTTCTCCATTTATGCATCATATTCTGACACTTCGTAAAAAATTCAAGAAAGTCATTGTACTGGCGCATAATGGTGGAGGATTTGATCATCAGTTTCTACTTCGTTACATTTTAGAGAAGACTAGTCTGTACCCGAATGTAATTATGAGAGGAACAAAATTAATATTGATGGAGGTAGGAAATGTAAAATTTCTGGATTCTCTCAATTATTTTCCTATGCCTCTAACTGCTCTACCCAAGGCGTTTGATTTGAAAGAGCTAAAGAAAGGATACTTTCCACATTTATTCAACACTTTGGCTCATCAGAATTATGTAGGGCCAATTCCAGCGCTCGACTTCTACGATCCCGACCATTTAAAGGAAGACGCTCGGGAAAAATTATTAAAATGGCATGGCGAAAGACAAGCGGAGGGATACGTTTTTGATTTTCAGAAAGAAATCGTTGAATACTGTATCTCCGATGTGGAAATATTGACACAGGCGTGTCTCAAATTTCGAGACCTGATGAAAACCGAAACCACAGTCGATCCCTTCCAGGAAAGCACCACTATTGCATCATGCTGTAACAAAGTCTTTAGACGCAATTTTTTAAAACCTGAGACGATCGGGGTAATTCCAAAAGGGGGCTATAGATGGCGTGAAAATCAGTCAAAAATTGCCATCCAATGGCTGTTGTGGGAGGAACATCAAAGAGGAATCAAAATTCAACACGCCGCTAAGGGTATAGAAACCATTGTTAAGGGACATAAAGTAGACGGTTTTTGTAGCGACACAAATCAAGTGTTTGAATTCCAAGGATGCTATTTTCACGGTTGCCCTCGATGTTTCAAATACAAAAGAAGCAATCCTCTGCATAATGATCCGTTGAATACATTGGAAAGTCGATACGAACAATCAGTTAGCAAAGTAGAGAGACTCCGAAGCCTTGGACTAGAAGTAATTGAGATATGGGAATGTCAATTTCGAGGAATGCTAAACGATGAAATTAGAGCCTTCACAGAAGCACATCCATTGATAATCAATTTACCGATTAACCCCAGAGACGCTCTCTACGGGGGACGTACAGAAAATATCGTTGAATACTACAAGATCAAAACAAATGAATGCATAAAATATGTCGATATATGTTCCCTGTACCCCTTCATCTGTAAATATGGAAAATTTCCGGTGGGTCATCCAAAAAAAATTTACGTAGGCGAAGAATGTGTTACAGCCTCTCTGTCGCAGATGTCAGGACTTATTAAATGCCAGATTCTACCGAACCAGAACTTATATCACCCCGTTTTACCGTCAAAAATGAACAACAAATTGATGTTTGTTAACTGTCAAAAATGTGGTGAAGATTTCGTTCGAGAAGAGTGTCAGCATTCTATTCAAGAAAGAAGCCTAAAAGGAACTTGGGTGATAGAAGAGGTGCTCAAAGCTATTGAAAAAGGTTACCAGATTATAGAGACTTACGAAATATGGGAATACGATACAATTCAGCTCAGTAAAGACCAAGAGGGGTTATTTAGCGGAATGATGAACAAGTTTCTACAAATAAAACAACAAGCTTCAGGATGGCCCAAACATTGCTTAACGGATGAAGAAAAAAACCGTTATATTGATGCATTTTTGGATAGAGAAGACATAAAGCTGGAATTTTCAAAAATTATAGAGAACCCCTGTTTGAGATCGTTAGCTAAACTTATGCTGAATTCCTTTTGGGGTAAATTTGCTCAAAAAGAAAACCAAAACAAAACCTCAATAGTCAGAGACTGTGGTGAATTCTTTGATATGCTGACTAATCCTTCTATTCATGTAAATACAGTTCTCCCGGTAAACGAAGAAACCCTTCTCATAACTTGGGAATTTAGAGAAGAGGCCTATGACGTTTCTTCAACGGTTAACGTTGTATTGGCTTCATATGTCACGGCCCTAGCTAGACTAAAATTATATTCATTCTTGGAGAAAGTGGAAGAAAGGGCAGTTTACGTAGATACAGATTCATGTATTTATATCTCTCGTAAGGGATTAGACGACATATCTACAGGCGACTTCATAGGTGATATGACCGATGAGCTCAATGGGGGTTTCATATCAGAGTTTGTTTCTGGAGGACCTAAGAACTACGCCTACAAATATACTACTTTGTCTGGAGAGGAACAGATCGTATGTAAAGTAAAAGGCATATCACTCAACTACAAGGCATCCCAAGTAGTCAATTTTGAGAAAATAAAAGACATGGTGCTGAAGAAATCTGATCCTGTTTCTGTACTTTCTCGACAGCTACGACGTACAAGAGAGCATGCAGTAGTAACAGTCGAGTTTCCTAAGGTATACAAGATAACTTCAATGAAAAGGAAATTCTATGAAGATCATACCTCTGTACCATTTGGATTTAAGAAAATAAAGTATTGATTTATTAATGTATGTAAATATTTTTTAATAAACATGTAAAATAAAATGTATGCAAATGATTTTTTGTTTTTTATTTCCCGCCTAATTGAAAAATATTTTTGCACCCGAAATTGTTCAGCCTTTTTACTCCATATAAAATATTTAAAAGTATGCATTGTTATTATTAAACGCCTGCAGTAATATACACCAAAAAAATTGAGAAGCAGTGTAACCATGTGGAACTTTGTATAATCACAAAAAAACATATCTTGGAAAATAAAAAATACAGCAGATTCATAAGCAGTGTAGAGAGGAAACTACGTAAAAGTAATCGATTATTACTAATAAAATAGAGTTTTGAATTCCTATTTTTACAATAATAATCATTTTACTATCTTACGTGTTGGGCACTGCACTGCACGGGTACCAACACTGTACTGCACGGGCACGAAAAATTGAGAAGCATGATAACCATGTAGAACTTCGTATCACTACGTAAATGGTTATTACGAAAAGTAGAAATAAAAACTATATTTTCGATAATAGCTATACTATTTTTTATGAGCACCGAAAAAATTGAGAAGCACGATAACCTCATAGAACTTCGAAACAGCACCAGAGACAACCGAAGGCTACAGAAAAAAACACATACTGAAAAGGCATAACATCTATCAGCGCTGGTATCCGATAATACTGTTTCCTTTGACATTCGTTGGGATATGAAAACACATATTTGCTTCCCACCGTTATAACGGAAATAATAGTTACTGCAAAAGCAGTTTCACGATAAGACCATACATTAATCTACAAAGTTGATAATAAAACATATGTACTATTAAAATGCAGATATTTTTAAAATTATACAATTAAAAAATCAAAATAATATATTATAAATGGTAGGGGATACAGGGTAAACACCGAAATATACTTAATTTAGAATAGTTACTTATAATCTCCTCAGTTCTTTGGTCAGCCGTATCGACAATTTACCGGTGGGTCCTCTATTTTTGTGCATGTAAAAGGTTAGACTATGGCGCTAGCAAAAAAAAACAAAATGCAACAAAGTAGAGTCACTTAATATTCTTGTTGAAATTACGGATAGAATATGGTAGAAAGTAACAATCAGATATTGTAGAAGCCATGTATTTGTTTAATTGTTGAGGAAAAAGTATTTTTCATACGCTGACCATGTTTATGTCCGCTTGGTACGCGACCAGATCTTTTCCAAACCTTTGCCCGTAGGGTTCATGAGCCTACGACCAAATGTGTCGTCGAAGGGGCATTTTTGGCCAAATTCGGTCGAAACCGATGCTGCGTTCGTACCCTAGAGCCTACGAACAGTGACTCAAACTTAATTTTAATTGATATGCAAAGATCTGGCTAGAATGCTTGAGCTAGTGATTATATGCAATTTATCGGTGACGAGCTTTCCTCTAGCATATCTTGATTTATTCAAGCGAATCAATGAGAAACTAGTGAATAAAATTACCTGACAGCCATAGTACAAGTTGGTATATCTACACCTTCTCTTACATTTGGCGCCACTAAAATGTTAATCTCCTTGTTTCTAAAAACGATCAAGTACTTATCTGTTCTTCTTATTAATCGGAAGTGATTCTACGGTGCTATTAAAAGAGTTTCCGTTATATCCCACAACGAAATCCGGCTTTATATGTCTGAACTCTGGTACATGTTCACTCAAATCTTTCAGTACATGGTGCAATATTTTTGGCAGTTGATCTTTCCTTCGTGAATATTAAACCACAAATGTCTTCGTTTGAAGATGAACTGTTGAAAAGTGTTACGTTCATATTAGTATTAATATTTATGACATTTACTTTTTTAAAATAGTTAAATACTACGATAAACTGGGAATGTGGGATGAAGCAGAAATGTTTCTGTAACCCAATTTAGGTATGTATAGCAAGTCTTACGCAAGACAATAATAAAAACAGATAGAATTCGAGGGCGATTCTTGGAAGAAAAATTCATAGTATTTCTAAGGCAACACCGACCGGAGTGCTATAATTTTAGCATACATTTACAGGTTATAGGTCTAATGATAAATAGAAAGTGATTAAAATTTTAACTTCAATTTTCGTAAAATAGCTGAGATATGCCATCTTGCAGTAGCCTGAAATGAAATACCCGACAGGTTACCCATCACCTGATAGTCTGTGGTTCTCGCCGCTAGATGACGCTACATACAAACGTCATCTGTCAAACGTTATGTGTATCATTGATAAGTGTGAGTTGTGTCTCTAAGCGCTAGATGGTGTCGATGTCGCACTGGTGTCGTAGAGTGACCCACATACAGGGGTCGATAGAAATTTTTGGGGCCCTACCGACGGGTCGATGAACCGACGGTATAACGTCAGATCGAAATAAGCTCCATTCACATGGGAGGTGTGTGTGGAATTGCTCGTGGGAGACACGGACCTTGTCGTATATAGCAAGACGTGTCCTAAAATGGTGATACCCATTGGTCGCTCAGCCATACAGGTCGGTCAGACAGAAGTTTTTGGGACCGGGGTGCTCTGATTGGTGGATCAGACGGCGGGAAATTTGAACGGTGTTGATGGTATAGCTGAATGGTGGACGGCGGGGTCGGGTGCGTTGGTAATCACCTATGTCGCAAATGAGGTTAGATAGATAGTCGTTCAGTGAAGGTGTTGTCGTAGCGGTGATATGCAAGAAGTACTGCTCGCGGGGGTGTCAACGAGTTAATATTGGCCAACGATAACAGCGGTGACCCTGGATCACTGTTGTCACACGGTTGCAAAAGATGACAGGTTATCTCTTAATTTTCGTAAACAACGATTTTTCTAAAGTGGTAAAAACAGGTCGAAATTTTAAATACCTATGAATCACCGCAAATTATCTTGTCAGTTATCTGCTGCGAACAAAACATGCTCAGCTCAGACTTATCTAAAAAGTGGTGGGAAAATCGATATTATAAAAATATTTATGAATCACCGCAAATTCTCTTAGACGTGCTCTTATCAGTTCAGACTTAGTTAAAACTGGTGGGTAAAATCGAGATTATAAATACCTATGAATCACCGCAAATTACCTTGTCAGTTATCTGCAGTGAACAGACGTGCTCAGTTCAGACTTAGCAATTCCCAACGCTCCTCCGTGGCCATTCCCCTTACCCTCTCGCGAGTGCGCGCATGCGCATGCGGCTCGTTCTGGTCTATAGACATATGATCGCTAATGATCTTGAACAAAGATGTCCTGATACACGAACCGCCAGAGGTACATCAGAAGTAATGTTAGTATTGTGTGTGCGTGTTTTTTGAACACGCTAAGTCGTGATGTACATCACGTGACGTACGTCACGTGACCTACGTGACGTGCGTGTGACAGGTGACGTACGTGTGACAGGTGACGTACGTGTGACAGGTGACGTGCGTCACGTGGCACGTGACGTGCGTCACGTGACACTTGACGCACGTGGCGTAGATACTGGTGCACTCTGGGCGCCCCCCACCACTTCCACTTTTTGGCCACGCCCACCACATCCACCGCGTGCTCTGATTGGCGGATCAAACGGCGGGAAATTTGAACGGGGTTGATGGTATATGTTGATTGGCGGGAACCGCTAGATCCACCGCGTGCTCTGATTGGCGGATCAAACGGCGGGAAATTTGAACGGGGTTGATGGTATATGTTGATTGGCGGGAACCGCTAGATCCACCGCGTGCTCTGATTGGTGGATCAGACGGCGGAAGTTTGAACGGGTTGATGGTATATGTTGATTGGCGGGCCCCGTTAGATAGCGCACCCGACCGGAAGTGATTCAGACAGCCGACGATAGTAAGGTGTAGTATAACGTCTATGCGTAAGCGATGTGATTCATTTCATGTTTTGCGGTAAATATTTGCATATAGATCGATAAAAGCCCATGAATAATGATATTTATAGATGCAATTCTGCTGATTCAGTTTAAATGGAAAAACGTATAAAATTCGCGGGAAACAATGCGTATAGGATGATCTCAATAATCAACACGTCATATTCAGTGTGCATATAAAAATGGAATTGCTCATATATGTGGTGCATACAGTTAATGTTAGTTAATTTTTAACATTGATACAATATTGAAAACATAGTACAGTCTATATTGTGTATCTAATAAATTCAACAAGGCAATCACCTACGTCGCAAATGAGGTTAGGTTCAGGGCAGGTGTTGTCGTAGCGGTGATATGCAAGAAGTACCGGGCGGGGCTGTTAAGCATGGGTGAATGGGCAGGAAGCGCAGGCTGTCAACGAGTTAATACTGACCAACGATAACAGCGGTGACCTTGAAACACTGTGGTCAGTTAAAAAGTGGTGGGGGTAAAATCGAGATTATAATACCTATGAATCACCGCAAATTATCTTGTCAGTTATCTGCAGCGAACAGACGTGCTCAGTTCAGATTTAGTCGCTAGTTAACGTTTTAGTTTTTAAAAATGGAAAAATTCTTCATCGTTAAGGATTCTACTAAGAAGATTAAAAATTTAATCTATATGGGCGAGAAGTGGAATTTAAAATACGACCTATCCCTAAAGACGTCGAACCTGTGGGATGGATCAAAGACGCTCTGGAGGAAATAGTAGCCAAAGGAACTGAACATCTCCAGCCCAGTGATCAAGTTGGATTCACTTTCTGTTCCAAAGACTTTGCCCGCGGTCAAGGATGGATAGCTTTTAAATTGTTTTCCGACGTTTCAACTGAGGACATATGGGAGAAGATATCTTCCATCTATCAGTCAAATTCTGTGGGGTTGAATACCGAGACTTTTTGCTTGGGTATTACGTCCGTAAGGTTGCCTGCTGGTCGTGGTAGAGCTCAGAATTTCAATACCTTTGATGAGGAATGCGCCAAAAGAAAAGGCATTATCACCGTTAAAAACACCGATAATTTGTGTCTCCCACGAGCCCTTGTCATCGCCATGGCCCATTTGAACAAAGACAAAGATTATAGCAGAATCCGCCGTGATCGAGGAAAAATACAAGGACAAAGAGCTGTACAACTTGTGGAAAAGGCTGATATTGTTATCCCTGAGGAGGGGTGTGGAATACCTGAACTTCAAAAGCTACAACGATATCTGCAAAACTACAAAATTGTTGTATACAAGTTTGGGTGCAAAGGTCGTGACGTCATTTTTGAAGGCGTGTCCGCTGGTTCGACGCTTAACCTAATATATCACGAGGGGCACTACAGCGTCATAACATCCCTCACTGCTGCCTTTTGCTGCAGCTTTTTTTGTGAGAACTGCCACATTCCGTATAATACTAAACAAATTCATAGATGTGATAAACAATGTTATGCTTGTAAAAGATCTCCGGCCTGCCTGAAACGAAGCACATCAAATGCAAAGAATGTAATAGAAGCTTTTATGGACAAGAATGTTTTAACGCTCATTTACCATCGGTCTGTTCTAAAATTAAAAGATGTGTAGACTGTTTTAAAGTTCACAACGGTAATGATCACATCTGCGGATATATACTTTGTAAAACATGTTATAAAAATCAACCAATTGAACATATGTGCTATATACAGCCTAACAGAAGTATTCCTAAATCAAATGATGTCTTATTAATATTTTACGATTTGGAAACCCGTCAGGAGAAGGAATTACCCAATGGATCTTTACTGCATGAGCCAAATCTATGTGTATTCAAACAATGTTGTGAATCATGTACCGATAATCCTATATGCAAGAAATGTGGCCTTCGAATACAGATTCTTCGATGTCAAGACGTCATTTCTCCATTTATGCATCATATTCTGACACTTCGTAAAAAATTCAAGAAAGTCATTGTACTGGCGCATAATGGTGGAGGATTTGATCATCAGTTTCTACTTCGTTACATTTTAGAGAAGACTAGTCTGTACCCGAATGTAACTATGAGAGGAACAAAATTAATATTGATGGAGGTAGGAAATGTAAAATTTCTGGATTCTCTCAATTATTTTCCTATGCCTCTAACTGCTCTACCCAAGGCGTTTGATTTGAAAGAGCTAAAGAAAGGATACTTTCCACATTTATTCAACACTTTGGCTCATCAGAATTATGTAGGGCCAATTCCAGCGCTCGACTTCTACGATCCCGACCATTTAAAGGAAGACGCTCGGGAAAAATTATTAAAATGGCATGGCGAAAGACAAGCGGAGGGATACGTTTTTGATTTTCAGAAGAAATCGTTGAATACTGTATCTCCGATGTGGAAATATTGACACAGGCGTGTCTCAAATTTCGAGACCTGATGAAAACCGAAACCACAGTCGATCCCTTCCAGGAAAGCACCACTATTGCATCATGCTGTAACAAAGTCTTTAGACGCAATTTTTTAAAACCTGAGACGATCGGGTAATTCCAAAAGGGGGCTATAGATGGCGTGAAAATCAGTCAAAAATTGCCATCCAATGGCTGTTGTGGGAGGAACATCAAAGAGGAATCAAAATTCAACACGCCGCTAAGGGTATAGAAACCATTGTTAAGGGACATAAAGTAGACGGTTTTTGTAGCGACACAAATCAAGTGTTTGAATTCCAAGGATGCTATTTTCACGGTTGCCCTCGATGTTTCAAATACAAAAGAAGCAATCCTCTGCATAATGATCCGTTGAATACATTGGAAAGTCGATACGAACAATCAGTTAGCAAAGTAGAGAGACTCCGAAGCCTTGGACTAGAAGTAATTGAGATATGGGAATGTCAATTTCGAGGAATGCTAAACGATGAAATTAGAGCCTTCACAGAAGCACATCCATTGATAATCAATTTACCGATTAACCCCAGAGACGCTCTCTACGGGGGACGTACAGAAAATATCGTTGAATACTACAAGATCAAAACAAATGAATGCATAAAATATGTCGATATATGTTCCCTGTACCCCTTCATCTGTAAATATGGAAAATTTCCGGTGGGTCATCCAAAAAAAATTTACGTAGGTGAAGAATGTGTTACAGCCTCTCTGTCGCAGATGTCAGGACTTATTAAATGCCAGATTCTACCGAACCAGAACTTATATCACCCCGTTTTACCGTCAAAAATGAACAACAAATTGATGTTTGTTAACTGTCAAAAATGTGGTGAAGATTTCGTTCGAGAAGAGTGTCAGCATTCTATTCAAGAAAGAAGCCTAAAAGGAACTTGGGTGATAGAAGAGGTGCTCAAAGCTATTGAAAAAGGTTACCAGATTATAGAGACTTACGAAATATGGGAATACGATACAATTCAGCTCAGTAAAGACCAAGAGGGGTTATTTAGCGGAATGATGAACAAGTTTCTACAAATAAAACAACAAGCTTCAGGATGGCCCAAACATTGCTTAACGGATGAAGAAAAAAACCGTTATATTGATGCATTTTTGGATAGAGAAGACATAAAGCTGGAATTTTCAAAAATTATAGAGAACCCCTGTTTGAGATCGTTAGCTAAACTTATGCTGAATTCCTTTTGGGGTAAATTTGCTCAAAAAGAAAACCAAAACAAAACCTCAATAGTCAGAGACTGTGGTGAATTCTTTGATATGCTGACTAATCCTTCTATTCATGTAAATACAGTTCTCCCGGTAAACGAAGAAACCCTTCTCATAACTTGGGAATTTAGAGAAGAGGCCTATGACGTTTCTTCAACGGTTAACGTTGTATTGGCTTCATATGTCACGGCCCTAGCTAGACTAAAATTATATTCATTCTTGGAGAAAGTGGAAGAAAGGGCAGTTTACGTAGATACAGATTCATGTATTTATATCTCTCGTAAGGGATTAGACGACATATCTACAGGAGACTTCATAGGTGATATGACCGATGAGCTCAATGGGGGTTTCATATCAGAGTTTGTTTCTGGAGGACCTAAGAACTACGCCTACAAATATACTACTTTGTCTGGAGAGGAACAGATCGTATGTAAAGTAAAAGGCATATCACTCAACTACAAGGCATCCCAAGTAGTCAATTTTGAGAAAATAAAAGACATGGTGCTGAAGAAATCTGATCCTGTTTCTGTACTTTCTCGACAGCTACGACGTACAAGAGAGCATGCAGTAGTAACAGTCGAGTTTCCTAAGGTATACAAGATAACTTCAATGAAAAGGAAATTCTATGAAGATCATACCTCTGTACCATTTGGATTTAAGAAAATAAAGTATTGATTTATTAATGTATGTAAATATTTTTTAATAAACATGTAAAATAAAATGTATGCAAATGATTTTTTGTTTTTTATTTCCCGCCTAATTGAAAAATATTTTTGCACCCGAAATTGTTCAGCCTTTTTACTCCATATAAAATATTTAAAAGTATGCATTGTTATTATTAAACGCCTGCAGTAATATACACCAAAAAAATTGAGAAGCAGTGTAACCATGTGGAACTTTGTATAATCACAAAAAAACATATCTTGGAAAATAAAAAATACAGCAGATTCATAAGCAGTGTAGAGAGGAAACTACGTAAAAGTAATCGATTATTACTAATAAAATAGAGTTTTGAATTCCTATTTTTACAATAATAATCATTTTACTATCTTACGTGTTGGGCACTGCACTGTACGGGTACCAACACTGTACTGCACGGGCACGAAAAATTGAGAAGCATGATAACCATGTAGAACTTCGTATCACTACGTAAATGGTTATTACGAATAGTAGAAATAAAAACTATATTTTCGATAATGGCTATACTATTTTTTATGAGCACCGAAAAAATTGAGAAGCACGATAACCTCATAGAACTTCGAAACAGCACCAGAGACAACCGAAGGCTACAGAAAAAAACACATACTGAAAAGGCATAACATCTATCAGCGCTGGTATCCGATAATACTGTTTCCTTTGACATTCGTTGGGATATGAAAACACATATTTGCTTCCCACCGTTATAACGGAAATAATAGTTACTGCAAAAGCAGTTTCACGATAAGACCATACATTAATCTACAAAGTTGATAATAAAACATATGTACTATTAAAATGCAGATATTTTTAAAATTATACAATTAAAAAATCAAAATAATATATTATAAATGGTAGGGGATACAGGGTAAACACCGAAATATACTTAATTTAGAATAGTTACTTATAATCTCCTCAGTTCTTTGGTCAGCCGTATCGACAATTTACCGGTGGGTCCTCTATTTTTGTGCATGTAAAAGGTTAGACTATGGCGCTAGCAAAAAAAAACAAAATGCAACAAAGTAGAGTCACTTAATATTCTTGTTGAAATTACGGATAGAATATGGTAGAAAGTAACAATCAGATATTGTAGAAGCCATGTAATTGTTTAATTGTTGAGGAAAAAGTATTTTTCATACGCTGACCATGTTTATGTCCGCTTGGTACGCGACCAGATCTTTTCCAAACCTTTGCCCGTAGGGTTCATGAGCCTACGACCAAATGTGTCGTCGAAGGGGCATTTTTGGGCAAATTCGGTCGAAACCGATGCTGCGTTCGTACCCTAGAGCCTACGAACAGTGACTCAAACTTAATTTTAATTGATATGCAAAGATCTGGCTAGAATGCTTGAGCTAGTGATTATATGCAATTTATCGGTGACGAGCTTTCCTCTAGCATATCTTGATTTATTCAAGCGAATCAATGAGAAACTAGTGAATAAAATTACCTGACAGCCATAGTACAAGTTGGTATATCTACACCTTCTCTTACATTTGGCGCCACTAAAATGTTAATCTCCTTGTTTCTAAAAACGATCAAATACTTATCTGTTCTTCTTATTAATCGGAAGTGATTCTACGGTGCTATTAAAAGAGTTTCCGTTATATCCCACAACGAAATCCGGCTTTATATGTCTGAACTCTGGTACATGTTCACTCAAATCTTTCAGTACATGGTGCAATATTTTTGGCAGTTGATCTTTCCTTCGTGAATATTAAACCACAAATGTCTTCGTTTGAAGATGAACTGTTGAAAAGTGTTACGTTTATATTAGTATTAATATTTATGACATTTACTTTTTTAAAATAGTTAAATACTACGATAAACTGGGAATGTGGGATGAAGCAGAAATGTTTCTGTAACCCAATTTAGGTATGTATAGCAAGTCTTACGCAAGACAATAATAAAAACAGATAGAATTCGAGGGCGATTCTTGGAAGAAAAATTCATAGTATTTCTAAGGCAACAGCGACCGGAGTGCTATAATTTTAGCATACATTTACAGGTTATAGGTCTAATGATAAATAGAAAGTGATTAAAATTTTAACTTCAATTTTCGTAAAATAGCTGAGATATGCCATCTTGCAGTAGCCTGAAATGAAATACCCGACAGGTTACCCATCACCTGATAGTCTGTGGTTCTCGCCGCTAGATGACGCTACATACAAACGTCATCTGTCAAACGTTATGTGTATCATTGATAAGTGTGAGTTGTGTCTCTAAGCGCTAGATGGTGTCGATGTCGCACTGGTGTCGTAGAGTGACCCACATACAGGGGTCGATAGAAATTTTTGGGGCCCTACCGACGGGTCGATGAACCGACGGTATAATGTCAGATCGAAATAAGCTCCATTCACATGGGAGGTGTGTGTGGAATTGCTCGTGGGAGACACGGACCTTGTCGTATATAGCAAGACGTGTCCTAAAATGGTGATACCCATTGGTCGCTCAGCCATACAGGTCGGTCAGACAGAAGTTTTTGGGACCGGGGTGCTCTGATTGGTGGATCAGACGGCGGGAAATTTGAACGGTGTTGATGGTATAGCTGAATGGTGGACGGCGGGGTCGGGTGCGTTGGTAATCACCTATGTCGCAAATGAGGTTAGATAGATAGTCGTTCAGTGAAGGTGTTGTCGTAGCGGAGATATGCAAGAAGTACTGCTCGCGGGGGTGTCAACGAGTTAATATTGGCCAACGATAACAGCGGTGACCCTGGAACACTGTTGTCACACGGTTGCAAAAGATGACAGGTTATCTCTTAATTTTCGTAAACAACGATTTTTCTAAAGTGGTAAAAACAGGTCGAAATTTTAAATACCTATGAATCACCGCAAATTATCTTGTCAGTTATCTGCTGCGAACAAAACATGCTCAGCTCAGACTTATCTAAAAAGTGGTGGGAAAATCGATATTATAAAAATATTTATGAATCACCGCAAATTCTCTTAGACGTGCTCTTATCAGTTCAGACTTAGTTAAAACTGGTGGGTAAAATCGAGATTATAAATACCTATGAATCACCGCAAATTACCTTGTCAGTTATCTGCAGTGAACAGACGTGCTCAGTTCAGACTTAGCAATTCCCAACGCTCCTCCGTGGCCATTCCCCTTACCCTCTCGCGAGTGCGCGCATGCGCATGCGGCTCGTTCTGGTCTATAGACATATGATCGCTAATGATCTTGAACAAAGATGTCCTGATACACGAACCGCCAGAGGTACATCAGAAGTAATGTTAGTATTGTGTGTGCGTGTTTTTTGAACACGCTAAGTCGTGATGTACATCACGTGACGTACGTCACGTGACCTACGTGACGTGCGTGTGACAGGTGACGTACGTGTGACAGGTGACGTACGTGTGACAGGTGACGTGCGTCACGTGGCACGTGACGTGCGTCACGTGACACTTGACGCACGTGGCGTAGATACTGGTGCACTCTGGGCGCCCCCCACCACTTCCACTTTTTGGCCACGCCCACCACATCCACCGCGTGCTCTGATTGGCGGATCAAACGGCGGGAAATTTGAACGGGGTTGATGGTATATGTTGATTGGCGGGAACCGCTAGATCCACCGCGTGCTCTGATTGGCGGATCAAACGGCGGGAAATTTGAACGGGGTTGATGGTATATGTTGATTGGCGGGAACCGCTAGATCCACCGCGTGCTCTGATTGGTGGATCAGACGGCGGGAAGTTTGAACGGGTTGATGGTATATGTTGATTGGCGGGCCCCGTTAGATAGCGCACCCGACCGGAAGTGATTCAGACAGCCGACGATAGTAAGGTGTAGTATAACGTCTATGCGTAAGCGATGTGATTCATTTCATGTTTTGCGGTAAATATTTGCATATAGATCGATAAAAGCCCATGAATAATGATATTTATAGATGCAATTCTGCTGATTCAGTTTAAATGGAAAAACGTATAAAATTCGCGGGAAACAATGCGTATAGGATGATCTCAATAATCAACACGTCATATTCAGTGTGCATATAAAAATGGAATTGCTCATATATGTGGTGCATACAGTTAATGTTAGTTAATTTTTAACATTGATACAATATTGAAAACATAGTACAGTCTATATTGTGTATCTAATAAATTCAACAAGGCAATCACCTACGTCGCAAATGAGGTTAGGTTCAGGGCAGGTGTTGTCGTAGCGGTGATATGCAAGAAGTACCGGGCGGGGCTGTTAAGCATGGGTGAATGGGCAGGAAGCGCAGGCTGTCAACGAGTTAATACTGACCAACGATAACAGCGGTGACCTTGAAACACTGTGGTCAGTTAAAAAGTGGTGGGGGTAAAATCGAGATTATAAATACCTATGAATCACCGCAAATTATCTTGTCAGTTATCTGCAGCGAACAGACGTGCTCAGTTCAGATTTAGTCGCTAGTTAACGTTTTAGTTTTTAAAAAATGGAAAAATTCTTCATCGTTAAGGATTCTACTAAGAAGATTAAAAAATTTAATCTATATGGGCGAGAAGTGGAATTTAAAATACGACCTATCCCTAAAGACGTCGAACCTGTGGGATGGATCAAAGACGCTCTGGAGGAAATAGTAGCCAAAGGAACTGAACATCTCCAGCCCAGTGATCAAGTTGGATTCACTTTCTGTTCCAAAGACTTTGCCCGCGGTCAAGGATGGATAGCTTTTAAATTGTTTTCCGACGTTTCAACTGAGGACATATGGGAGAAGATATCTTCCATCTATCAGTCAAATTCTGTGGGGTTGAATACCGAGACTTTTTGCTTGGGTATTACGTCCGTAAGGTTGCCTGCTGGTCGTGGTAGAGCTCAGAATTTCAATACCTTTGATGAGGAATGCGCCAAAAGAAAAGGCATTATCACCGTTAAAAACACCGATAATTTGTGTCTCCCACGAGCCCTTGTCATCGCCATGGCCCATTTGAACAAAGACAAAGATTATAGCAGAATCCGCCGTGATCGAGGAAAAATACAAGGACAAAGAGCTGTACAACTTGTGGAAAAGGCTGATATTGTTATCCCTGAGGAGGGGTGTGGAATACCTGAACTTCAAAAGCTACAACGATATCTGCAAAACTACAAAATTGTTGTATACAAGTTTGGGTGCAAAGGTCGTGACGTCATTTTTGAAGGCGTGTCCGCTGGTTCGACGCTTAACCTAATATATCACGAGGGGCACTACAGCGTCATAACATCCCTCACTGCTGCCTTTTGCTGCAGCTTTTTTTGTGAGAACTGCCACATTCCGTATAATACTAAACAAATTCATAGATGTGATAAACAATGTTATGCTTGTAAAAGATCTCCGGCCTGCCTGAAAACGAAGCACATCAAATGCAAAGAATGTAATAGAAGCTTTTATGGACAAGAATGTTTTAACGCTCATTTACCATCGGTCTGTTCTAAAATTAAAAGATGTGTAGACTGTTTTAAAGTTCACAACGGTAATGATCACATCTGCGGATATATACTTTGTAAAACATGTTATAAAAATCAACCAATTGAACATATGTGCTATATACAGCCTAACAGAAGTATTCCTAAATCAAATGATGTCTTATTAATATTTTACGATTTGGAAACCCGTCAGGAGAAGGAATTACCCAATGGATCTTTACTGCATGAGCCAAATCTATGTGTATTCAAACAATGTTGTGAATCATGTACCGATAATCCTATATGCAAGAAATGTGGCCTTCGAATACAGATTCTTCGATGTCAAGACGTCATTTCTCCATTTATGCATCATATTCTGACACTTCGTAAAAAATTCAAGAAAGTCATTGTACTGGCGCATAATGGTGGAGGATTTGATCATCAGTTTCTACTTCGTTACATTTTAGAGAAGACTAGTCTGTACCCGAATGTAACTATGAGAGGAACAAAATTAATATTGATGGAGGTAGGAAATGTAAAATTTCTGGATTCTCTCAATTATTTTCCTATGCCTCTAACTGCTCTACCCAAGGCGTTTGATTTGAAAGAGCTAAAGAAAGGATACTTTCCACATTTATTCAACACTTTGGCTCATCAGAATTATGTAGGGCCAATTCCAGCGCTCGACTTCTACGATCCCGACCATTTAAAGGAAGACGCTCGGGAAAAATTATTAAAATGGCATGGCGAAAGACAAGCGGAGGGATACGTTTTTGATTTTCAGAAAGAAATCGTTGAATACTGTATCTCCGATGTGGAAATATTGACACAGGCGTGTCTCAAATTTCGAGACCTGATGAAAACCGAAACCACAGTCGATCCCTTCCAGGAAAGCACCACTATTGCATCATGCTGTAACAAAGTCTTTAGACGCAATTTTTTAAAACCTGAGACGATCGGGGTAATTCCAAAAGGGGGCTATAGATGGCGTGAAAATCAGTCAAAAATTGCCATCCAATGGCTGTTGTGGGAGGAACATCAAAGAGGAATCAAAATTCAACACGCCGCTAAGGGTATAGAAACCATTGTTAAGGGACATAAAGTAGACGGTTTTTGTAGCGACACAAATCAAGTGTTTGAATTCCAAGGATGCTATTTTCACGGTTGCCCTCGATGTTTCAAATACAAAAGAAGCAATCCTCTGCATAATGATCCGTTGAATACATTGGAAAGTCGATACGAACAATCAGTTAGCAAAGTAGAGAGACTCCGAAGCCTTGGACTAGAAGTAATTGAGATATGGGAATGTCAATTTCGAGGAATGCTAAACGATGAAATTAGAGCCTTCACAGAAGCACATCCATTGATAATCAATTTACCGATTAACCCCAGAGACGCTCTCTACGGGGGACGTACAGAAAATATCGTTGAATACTACAAGATCAAAACAAATGAATGCATAAAATATGTCGATATATGTTCCCTGTACCCCTTCATCTGTAAATATGGAAAATTTCCGGTGGGTCATCCAAAAAAAATTTACGTAGGTGAAGAATGTGTTACAGCCTCTCTGTCGCAGATGTCAGGACTTATTAAATGCCAGATTCTACCGAACCAGAACTTATATCACCCCGTTTTACCGTCAAAAATGAACAACAAATTGATGTTTGTTAACTGTCAAAAATGTGGTGAAGATTTCGTTCGAGAAGAGTGTCAGCATTCTATTCAAGAAAGAAGCCTAAAAGGAACTTGGGTGATAGAAGAGGTGCTCAAAGCTATTGAAAAAGGTTACCAGATTATAGAGACTTACGAAATATGGGAATACGATACAATTCAGCTCAGTAAAGACCAAGAGGGGTTATTTAGCGGAATGATGAACAAGTTTCTACAAATAAAACAACAAGCTTCAGGATGGCCCAAACATTGCTTAACGGATGAAGAAAAAAACCGTTATATTGATGCATTTTTGGATAGAGAAGACATAAAGCTGGAATTTTCAAAAATTATAGAGAACCCCTGTTTGAGATCGTTAGCTAAACTTATGCTGAATTCCTTTTGGGGTAAATTTGCTCAAAAAGAAAACCAAAACAAAACCTCAATAGTCAGAGACTGTGGTGAATTCTTTGATATGCTGACTAATCCTTCTATTCATGTAAATACAGTTCTCCCGGTAAACGAAGAAACCCTTCTCATAACTTGGGAATTTAGAGAAGAGGCCTATGACGTTTCTTCAACGGTTAACGTTGTATTGGCTTCATATGTCACGGCCCTAGCTAGACTAAAATTATATTCATTCTTGGAGAAAGTGGAAGAAAGGGCAGTTTACGTAGATACAGATTCATGTATTTATATCTCTCGTAAGGGATTAGACGACATATCTACAGGAGACTTCATAGGTGATATGACCGATGAGCTCAATGGGGGTTTCATATCAGAGTTTGTTTCTGGAGGACCTAAGAACTACGCCTACAAATATACTACTTTGTCTGGAGAGGAACAGATCGTATGTAAAGTAAAAGGCATATCACTCAACTACAAGGCATCCCAAGTAGTCAATTTTGAGAAAATAAAAGACATGGTGCTGAAGAAATCTGATCCTGTTTCTGTACTTTCTCGACAGCTACGACGTACAAGAGAGCATGCAGTAGTAACAGTCGAGTTTCCTAAGGTATACAAGATAACTTCAATGAAAAGGAAATTCTATGAAGATCATACCTCTGTACCATTTGGATTTAAGAAAATAAAGTATTGATTTATTAATGTATGTAAATATTTTTTAATAAACATGTAAAATAAAATGTATGCAAATGATTTTTGTTTTTTATTTCCCGCCTAATTGAAAAATATTTTTGCACCCGAAATTGTTCAGCCTTTTTACTCCATATAAAATATTTAAAAGTATGCATTGTTATTATTAAACGCCTGCAGTAATATACACCAAAAAATTGAGAAGCAGTGTAACCATGTGGAACTTTGTATAATCACAAAAAAACATATCTTGGAAAATAAAAAATACAGCAGATTCATAAGCAGTGTAGAGAGGAAACTACGTAAAAGTAATCGATTATTACTAATAAAATAGAGTTTTGAATTCCTATTTTTACAATAATAATCATTTTACTATCTTACGTGTTGGGCACTGCACTGTACGGGTACCAACACTGTACTGCACGGGCACGAAAAATTGAGAAGCATGATAACCATGTAGAACTTCGTATCACTACGTAAATGGTTATTACGAATAGTAGAAATAAAAACTATATTTTCGATAATGGCTATACTATTTTTTATGAGCACCGAAAAAATTGAGAAGCACGATAACCTCATAGAACTTCGAAACAGCACCAGAGACAACCGAAGGCTACAGAAAAAAACACATACTGAAAAGGCATAACATCTATCAGCGCTGGTATCCGATAATACTGTTTCCTTTGACATTCGTTGGGATATGAAAACACATATTTGCTTCCCACCGTTATAACGGAAATAATAGTTACTGCAAAAGCAGTTTCACGATAAGACCATACATTAATCTACAAAGTTGATAATAAAACATATGTACTATTAAAATGCAGATATTTTTAAAATTATACAATTAAAAAATCAAAATAATATATTATAAATGGTAGGGGATACAGGGTAAACACCGAAATATACTTAATTTAGAATAGTTACTTATAATCTCCTCAGTTCTTTGGTCAGCCGTATCGACAATTTACCGGTGGGTCCTCTATTTTTGTGCATGTAAAAGGTTAGACTATGGCGCTAGCAAAAAAAAACAAAATGCAACAAAGTAGAGTCACTTAATATTCTTGTTGAAATTACGGATAGAATATGGTAGAAAGTAACAATCAGATATTGTAGAAGCCATGTAATTGTTTAATTGTTGAGGAAAAAGTATTTTTCATACGCTGACCATGTTTATGTCCGCTTGGTACGCGACCAGATCTTTTCCAAACCTTTGCCCGTAGGGTTCATGAGCCTACGACCAAATGTGTCGTCGAAGGGGCATTTTTGGGCAAATTCGGTCGAAACCGATGCTGCGTTCGTACCCTAGAGCCTACGAACAGTGACTCAAACTTAATTTTAATTGATATGCAAAGATCTGGCTAGAATGCTTGAGCTAGTGATTATATGCAATTTATCGGTGACGAGCTTTCCTCTAGCATATCTTGATTTATTCAAGCGAATCAATGAGAAACTAGTGAATAAAATTACCTGACAGCCATAGTACAAGTTGGTATATCTACACCTTCTCTTACATTTGGCGCCACTAAAATGTTAATCTCCTTGTTTCTAAAAACGATCAAATACTTATCTGTTCTTCTTATTAATCGGAAGTGATTCTACGGTGCTATTAAAAGAGTTTCCGTTATATCCCACAACGAAATCCGGCTTTATATGTCTGAACTCTGGTACATGTTCACTCAAATCTTTCAGTACATGGTGCAATATTTTTGGCAGTTGATCTTTCCTTCGTGAATATTAAACCACAAATGTCTTCGTTTGAAGATGAACTGTTGAAAAGTGTTACGTTTATATTAGTATTAATATTTATGACATTTACTTTTTTAAAATAGTTAAATACTACGATAAACTGGGAATGTGGGATGAAGCAGAAATGTTTCTGTAACCCAATTTAGGTATGTATAGCAAGTCTTACGCAAGACAATAATAAAAACAGATAGAATTCGAGGGCGATTCTTGGAAGAAAAATTCATAGTATTTCTAAGGCAACAGCGACCGGAGTGCTATAATTTTAGCATACATTTACAGGTTATAGGTCTAATGATAAATAGAAAGTGATTAAAATTTTAACTTCAATTTTCGTAAAATAGCTGAGATATGCCATCTTGCAGTAGCCTGAAATGAAATACCCGACAGGTTACCCATCACCTGATAGTCTGTGGTTCTCGCCGCTAGATGACGCTACATACAAACGTCATCTGTCAAACGTTATGTGTATCATTGATAAGTGTGAGTTGTGTCTCTAAGCGCTAGATGGTGTCGATGTCGCACTGGTGTCGTAGAGTGACCCACATACAGGGGTCGATAGAAATTTTTGGGGCCCTACCGACGGGTCGATGAACCGACGGTATAATGTCAGATCGAAATAAGCTCCATTCACATGGGAGGTGTGTGTGGAATTGCTCGTGGGAGACACGGACCTTGTCGTATATAGCAAGACGTGTCCTAAAATGGTGATACCCATTGGTCGCTCAGCCATACAGGTCGGTCAGACAGAAGTTTTTGGGACCGGGGTGCTCTGATTGGTGGATCAGACGGCGGGAAATTTGAACGGTGTTGATGGTATAGCTGAATGGTGGACGGCGGGGTCGGGTGCGTTGGTAATCACCTATGTCGCAAATGAGGTTAGATAGATAGTCGTTCAGTGAAGGTGTTGTCGTAGCGGAGATATGCAAGAAGTACTGCTCGCGGGGGTGTCAACGAGTTAATATTGGCCAACGATAACAGCGGTGACCCTGGAACACTGTTGTCACACGGTTGCAAAAGATGACAGGTTATCTCTTAATTTTCGTAAACAACGATTTTTCTAAAGTGGTAAAAACAGGTCGAAATTTTAAATACCTATGAATCACCGCAAATTATCTTGTCAGTTATCTGCTGCGAACAAAACATGCTCAGCTCAGACTTATCTAAAAAGTGGTGGGAAAATCGATATTATAAAAATATTTATGAATCACCGCAAATTCTCTTAGACGTGCTCTTATCAGTTCAGACTTAGTTAAAACTGGTGGGTAAAATCGAGATTATAAATACCTATGAATCACCGCAAATTACCTTGTCAGTTATCTGCAGTGAACAGACGTGCTCAGTTCAGACTTAGCAATTCCCAACGCTCCTCCGTGGCCATTCCCCTTACCCTCTCGCGAGTGCGCGCATGCGCATGCGGCTCGTTCTGGTCTATAGACATATGATCGCTAATGATCTTGAACAAAGATGTCCTGATACACGAACCGCCAGAGGTACATCAGAAGTAATGTTAGTATTGTGTGTGCGTGTTTTTTGAACACGCTAAGTCGTGATGTACATCACGTGACGTACGTCACGTGACCTACGTGACGTGCGTGTGACAGGTGACGTACGTGTGACAGGTGACGTACGTGTGACAGGTGACGTGCGTCACGTGGCACGTGACGTGCGTCACGTGACACTTGACGCACGTGGCGTACGTCACGTGACACGTGACGTGCACACTTTGTTCAAAAATACCAAAAAGCTGTCTTGATAGCCCGAACCGCCAGAGGTACAATATCAGAAGTAATGTTAGTGCGTGGTTGAGGTTCAAAAACTTAGCGTGTTCAAAAAAAAAACGTACCTAGACCAAAAGTCATTCTAGACCAGTCACTCTAGACCAAAGCACAAAAAAAACGCCGTTTTTCAACGCCTTTTTTTGTCACCATTCCCCTTAGTAGCGCGCATGCACATGGGGCTCGTTCTGCTGGTGCTGGTGCTGGCGCGGGCGTAGATAGCGTTTGTGGTAAGGGTTGGGGGTAGGTCTTGTTCTCTTACCACTATCCTATGGTACACAACAAACAAACTTACTCGTGCGCGATAAGAGAACAAGACCTACCCCCAACCCTTACCACAAACGCTATCTACGCCCGCGCCAGCACCAGCACCAGCAGAACGAGCCCCATGTGCATGCGCGCTACTAAGGGGAATGGTGACAAAAAAGGCGTTGAAAAACGGCGTTTTTTTTTGTGCTTTGGTCTAGAGTGACTGGACTAGAATGACTTTTGGTCTAGGTACGTTTTTTTTTTGAACACGCTAAGTTTTTGAACCTCAACCACGCACTAACATTACTTCTGATGTTGTACCTCTGGCGGTTCGGGCTATCAATACAGCTTTTTGGTATTTTTGAACAAAGTGTGCACGTCACGTGTCACGTGACGTACGCCACGTGCGTCAAGTGTCACGTGACGCACGTCACCTGTCACACGTACGTCACCTGTCACACGCACGTCACGTAGGTCACGTGACGTACGTCACGTGATGTACATCACGACTTAGCGTGTTCAAAAAACACGCACACACAATACTAACATTACTTCTGATGTACCTCTGGCGGTTCGTGTATCAGGACATCTTTGTTCAAGATCATTAGCGATCATATGTCTATAGACCAGAACGAGCCGCATGCCCATGCGCGCACTCGCGAGAGGGTAAGGGGAATGGCCACGGAGGAGCGTTGGGAATTGCTAAGTCTGAACTGAGCACGTCTGTTCACTGCAGATAACTGACAAGGTAATTTGCGGTGATTCATAGGTATTTATAATCTCGATTTTACCCACCAGTTTTAACTAAGTCTGAACTGATAAGAGCACGTCTAAGAGAATTTGCGGTGATTCATAAATATTTTTATAATATCGATTTTCCCACCACTTTTTAGATAAGTCTGAGCTGAGCATGTTTTGTTCGCAGCAGATAACTGACAAGATAATTTGCGGTGATTCATAGGTATTTAAAATTTCGACCTGTTTTTACCACTTTAGAAAAATCGTTGTTTACGAAAATTAAGAGATAACCTGTCATCTTTTGCAACCGTGTGACAACAGTGTTCCAGGGTCACCGCTGTTATCGTTGGCCAATATTAACTCGTTGACACCCCCGCGAGCAGTACTTCTTGCATATCTCCGCTACGACAACACCTTCACTGAACGACTATCTATCTAACCTCATTTGCGACATAGGTGATTACCAACGCACCCGACCCCGCCGTCCACCATT